ATCGACTTGGTTTTTTTATGTTAAAAGCTGATTAGTTTTTGGAATCGATCGGTAAAGCCGTTTAAAAGTTATTCCAAAAAAACCACATTAAAAAAAAATTTTTTTTCGTAGTTTTTTTTGAGATTTCTTTAAATCTACCGATCCGAATCGGTTCAAATTTTCAGAAAATCTAAGTTTGCTAGAACTCCTTAGAATTCAAAAGTTTGGTTTCAATCAGTCAAGCCGTTCAAAAGTTATAAGAGGTTTACACACACACACACTTACATACATACATATATACATACAGACACCATTGTAAAAATCGTCGAGAAAGCTTCCTAGGACCTTAAATCGTCGAGATCTAATGAAAACTCGATTTTCGAAAAATGGGGTAAAACCAATAATTTCCCGATTTTCGAAAATTTTCAATTTTCTTAGCGAGAAGTTAAAAATTGTCACAGTATTTTTGGTTCAATCGAACAACTTCTCCTCTACTATTTTACGAAACTGTGAGCATAAAAACAACATACTTAAAAAAAACGGGTAAAGGTAATAGTTTCGATGAAGTTTTCATGCTCAAGGTTTGGCAATGACCGTATACTGTATGTAAGGCTTCTCAAGCTTATGACCTAACAATCGAATTAAATCTACAAAGACTATAATAGTCGTTTTATGTGCACCTGTTTATTACTAGTTGCAATCGACACTGTATGCACTGATCTTGTGTTACGAACCATATAAAATAACGTTTTGCTATCATACAATTTATTAACAATAATTAGTATTCTCGTTTTCGAAAAAGTTTAAGTTGAAAAAAACTCTGGAAAATATAGTTCAAGTTACTAAAATAGCGTGATAACTATAATGCTAACTCTATACAGTTACGACTATTATTTTCATATGTAATTATTTTCATTTCGGATTATTTTTACTGTTATAGGACTACAATAACTTCAACTATTTAAGTGTACAATGTATAGAAAAAATAGACATTGTATAAACTTCTTATATAATAAAATTCGAATTATCAGTGTTAATACATCATGATGTTAAATACTTCTGCTGAGCAGTGATAGTAATAGTTCTTATCAAGATATGGTATAGGGATTTTACTTTCTTTTGTGTTTGCGAATTAATTAAAAATGTAAGAAAACCATTTATCTAGATTAACTAATTTCTGATTTTGAAGCCTTTTATATTAGATATTACTATCGTTTAGATAAAAAAAAAATACGCTCATAATTTTTACAATTCAATGCTCACTTGTCTTGTAATTTACGTATTTTATAAGATCTGGTGATGGATTTAAATACAACCGACTTGAGAGAAAAAATAGCTCAGAATATTTAATTGATAGTATTACAAATTAATGTTGAACTTATTTCCATACATCGGTATCTGTAAACTTTAAAAGTTATCTTTAGACTTTAGCACCCTTTAACAAGCCATTTAGCAATAACAAAAATTTTCGATGAACTATTGTATTTTAAAGATCTCTGTTAAAAAGAAGGAAGATTTTAAAAAATAGACAAAGAAGATCTTCTTTTTTTTTGCCCCCGTATATACGGCATATATTTTTTTTCAGTACGGGGAGATTTTTTAGATACTAGTGAGTAAAAAGTATTTTAAGTATTGTTTGTTAAAAAAAGGTATACTTACTTTAGACCCGGAAAACATTTTTCTAAAGTCACACTTCTACGGTTAGGAATACAAAAAATAACTTTTTTTTACTTTAATTACTTTTTTATGGGTTGTCAGTTCAATGTCATTAAAAATGGATAACTTCTTTAAAAATCTTAAAATTTTTTGTACAAAAAATTGTATTGTTATAAAAATTATTATTATTAATAATAATAATAATAATAATAATAATAATAATAATAATAATAATTCGTAAAAAATTAGAAATGAAATAAAAAATGAGATTACTTCAAATCGAGTTGATATGAAGGTCGAATTTTCAAAGACTTTTTTTTTCTTTTTATATAGAGAATTATATAGAGAATATTCATGAATATGCACACTCATTTTTAAAACAATCAGGAAGGATCGCTTCGATAAAATAATTATGTGTAATAGAACGACACACACATATGTGCTTATTTATTAATTTTTTGATTTAAATTATTCAGTTCCCAGATTGAATGAATAATATCTTTGGAACTAACTAAACAACTAAGTTAATGACATTTAAATATTCATCAAGTTATCTTTAGATTTCGAACTCATTTGATGATTGTTTGAATACTGTTATGTAATGAGATTTTGAAGATAAGGGATGAAAAATGGAAAGTCGGATGCGCCGTCGCCGTGAGTAGCCGTAAGATAGTCAATATATCAAACACTATGATATGACCGGCAATTATCGGATCTAATTAAAAAATTAAACATTAGTACAAAAATTTCTGTAAATTTCTATCATGGTACTGATCATCGATCGTAATGTATTTGAACTATGTAAGTCTAATATATTATTATACAAACATTAATCATTTTCTCTCATTTGACCGAGACCTAGAAATTTCACGGGCAAGTGTAACACTTGTTGCTTACTGCGCGATAGCAATTCTAAAAGCAACTGAGTATCAAGGGTAACGAGTATAATCAATACTGCATATATTTATGCACTCGTATGATACTTAATTTAATAACTATATTTATAGACTCACTTTCTGTCTAAAATTCATTTTGTTCGTTAAAGTTTATAATCATACTTCCTTAAATTATTTGTTCTAAAATACTCTTATACGATTTGTATACTTAATGGTCTATGCTTTTACGAAGTGAGATACTAAGAGTATCGCTACCTCTCAGGAAAGGCTACTTTACCTCAAAGAAAATAAATAAACTGATAAAATAATCTTGATTCACGAGAAATAATCTTTTAAAAAAATTATTTGGAATACAACCGGTTGTCTTGTTTAAAGAACTTCTTGTTTTGAATCTCGTCATCTTGACTTAAGAAACCAGTATCTTCGATCGATAACGATTGTCACTTAATGATTGAAGAGTATATTATCTTCGATCAATAGAATCAAATTCTTATTCATCCGAGATTAAATTTTCGAAAACTAAGAATAATTTCGTTTTCGTCAAATAACTTTATATATTTGTTTACGAAATAGTTTTTTTATTCAAAATAGTAAAAAAAAATCTTTTAAACACACAAAATTTTTATTGAAGAACCATTCCCATGTTTTTTTCTACTGGGACTCATTGACATTAATCGTACTATTTTTATTAGAATTTTACAGTAAATGAAAACTTAAAAATTGAATTTATCGTTATCAAATGGTAGGTAGATTTATAAATAATCCATCGAATATCAGAGCTTTTTTTTTTTGGGAAATGTTTATTTGTTTAGAAGAAATTTATGAAACTGTAATACTAGAGAACACTTTTTGAACACACTGTGAAACGTTTTTTATGGCATAGAAAATAGCAGAAATTCGACAGTTTTTGGTTTTAATGGGGTTCTGAAACAAGTTGGTAATATCTAGAACCAATATTGTCGCATTATATTAACCTCGGAAAAGAAATTCTTGAATGAAGTATATGCGCATCTTGTTTGAAAACAGTTAAATCTTTCGTTAAAATAGAATTCTTCTGAAGAGCTTTTTGCTTATCCAAGAGTTCTAATTGATTGATTGAGGAGTCAGTTTCTTCAATTCAAAAAAATAGACTACTTCGAAACAAGAGTACAATTTTAAATAAAATATTTTTCTTAAATCAATTTTTTTTTTTTTAAGTGCAACATTTCGAGTGTAAATAAAATTTCTTTCTATTTTCATGCGGTTGTTCTTTTAATATTGTTAGTAGATTTTATAAAAATCTAACTATTGTATTTGTTCTCATGACGTAAATTTCCATAAATTTTGCTATATTTCGACCTAACTCGACGAACTGAGTCAGAAAATACATATGGTTCGAAAGTTTATATATGTATGTATATATATATACGATATGCCTGCTTGTCACGACGATAGCGTCAACAATTCTTAAGGGATCTCAATGAAACTCTACTTATTCTATCGACTACTAGGAAGGTCAAGTTCGAATATGAGCTTAATCAGTCAAATAGTTTAGAAATTACAGCATTTAAAAATTTTGAAATTTTGAAAATTTAATACTTTCACTACTTCTCCCTCAAATAACTTTTGAACGCTTTGAGTTATTCGATTCCTGTAAATTGCATCTAAAAGCTGAGACATTAAACTTCAATTTATGTGCTCACATTTTTTTCTAAAGCAAAAAAAATTCATCTTAGGATTTTTTTTAAGAAATTTTACTTTTGCAGTCGTTTTGTCTATACAAAACTGACTGAAAAGTACTGAAGTACAATAATTCTTCTCTTTCTTTATTAAACGTTATTTATTTTTTTTTGTATTTAATCCTAGTAGTTTTTAATTTTATTCATCATGAAATCTACTTCCATTTCGGCTGCCGGATGGCCATTTTTATTTTTTCAAATGAATTGTCATAATGCAGTTATCCACAATGAACCAATTGGATAACTATTTATATGCTAAAACATGATCTGTTTTTCATTCATCAGTAACAAATTCATCTCAGATTGTGAAACTGGTCCTTAACTTATTTAAGGTAATAACTTTTCTTATAATAGGACAAAATATGTTCATTATATTAATAGTCGAATATTTATCGCAATGAATTAAAAACAAGTCGTACAGCGATTTTTTCCAGTCAAACGATTCTGAAACTTAAATATCCTTCGATGTATATGGTTACATGTATGTAATACAATATATTTACAGATTTGACGTAGAGTAAGAGGTAGTTTGGCGTTGTTCGCGTTTTAGTTGAGGAAGAAACAAAAAATATTAACACTAGTGAAATGATACCCCCATGCATATACAATATATACATATATTTATATCAAAGTATCTCTATCGATCCATTTGGATTAAATAGCGGGGATGAAAACTGCGAGCTTACAAGCACGCGCAGACGGCACCCTAGTCCTCAATTTAAGCTTTCAAATCATTTGAGCCCAGAATGTCATGCCCGAAACCAGTGGAAGTTCCACTGGGAAGGCCTTCTTACAAAAAGCGCGGGGAAAATTGCTTGGTTGGTTACGACGTTCATTGCGAACGTTTCACCAGGTGTGTCTTTAACTACATTATTACATCTCTAGTTATTCGTTTATTCTATTTTTATTAAATAATAAAAACAAATTATTTTTTTCTCAGAAAACGTTCATTGTTTGAACTAAATAATTTTTTTTAAAGCTGTGAAAGCCGTCGAACCTTCTCTAGGTCAATTTTATAATTATTATAGATCAATATTTACAAAGTGATGTAAAAAACTGCAATTGTTCTCAAATTTCAACTTAGTATCGTAAAATTCAAAATAATTTTATTCTGTGAAAGTGATGTGGGTAATTTTTTAGAAGTGATAACCATATTTTTGACCAACGATATTTTCAAATATTTTTTTTCTTTTCAAATTTTAATTGGGTAATTGTCGAGTTGCACGGTTCACAGTATTTCAACTCATAAAAATGATGTTCAGATTTTTCTTTGGACAGTGAGAAAGAATGATAAAATAAAAAAAATTGACAGTTTTAAAAATTTTTTTTTTTTTTGAATGGTTCAACAACTAAAATACGAAAAAACAAATACTAGAAATCGTTAAATTATGTGGACACATTTTATTAGCGATTTTCGGTCTAACATTTAAAGCTTGAAAACTAATTGAAAAATGTATTTGTATAAATTTTCATCATTATTATTGTAAATCCTCCGTAGAATTAAATAATTTGGAAAAAAAAGAAGAAAAAATAATTTTTTTATAATGTTAATTATTCGATTTTCTATGCAAAAAAAACAGGTGACTGAGAAAGTAAGATCGTTTATTAATCTATGTGTAAAAGCAAATAATTGACCGTTTCGAAAATGTCAATTGACATTTAAAAAAAATTTTTTCCATTCAAATTATTTTATTTTTGATGAATTTTAACGAAATGTTAATTTTGAAAAAAAAAATTTCAAATGTGAATTATCTATGAGTTGAAATATTATGGACCGTACTTACAAATAATTAGCTTGATTTAAATCATTTTTGTAGTTACTTGTATGAAAATTATAAAATTTTAAATAAAATACTAAACTCCTTTATTTATAGACGTTAAATATTGACGTTATCTGATTCGAGACACTCTAAAACTTACAATTTCTTCATTTTTGTGACATCAACATGCACTTGAGGTTTGTATTTATTTAAAAACAACCCAGAAGTTTATTTTTAAACATTCAAAATATTTAAATCACTATTTATTATATAAAATACTTGATATTTCATTGAATGGTCTTGAAATTAGTTAGATTTCACATTGTAAAGCATAGCAATTTCTATTATTGACATATTTTTAAAAATCTTAAGTATGCGATTAACAAAAACATTTGTAATTCATTATCAAAATTACCGTTAAAATAAATCCAGCCAACTTATCATATTGACACATGTAATAATTCTCATTTATGTGCATTATATAGATAATTTTTACTCGCATTTCTTTTATTGTTCCTTAGCTTACGTAATGACAGAATACCTTTTTATCTATACTTCATTTTTTGTAGTGTCACTTAACTCCTGTCAATCATTCCTTTAAATGACATGGGTAAATAGTTAAGAATATTATATAGTAGATAATTTATTTTTGTTTGTATATTTTTATAAAAATAGATACATCTTAACAGCATAAGTACATATAATGTATTTTAACTATTTAAATCTACCTAATAGGTTACCCTCTTTTATAATTATCTGAATGCTTTTAAATATACTCATTTTAATATGTTAATCGTAGTAATGGACAAACAAGCACCATTCATTTTTCAATTTAAAAATTCATTGTAGAACTTGTTTAATTATCTTTTGATCTAAGACAAGCGTACCATAAATTTCTAATGTATTTCACAGTTGTTTCTGTTAATATATCGTACGCTTCTATCCAAATTAATTATCTTAATCAATAATTTGTTCCGGTCATTGTTTGGCAGTGGGGAGCTCTCTATTTTTGGCCTCACAAAATAAAAAAATAGAAATTGCCGGATATTCTCAAATTAATCTACTTTAAATAAAAATTTTGAAAAAAGTTCAAAATAAAATTGTCCGATGACGTTTCAATTATTTTAATATGTTGGAAGAAACTAAATATTTACCAAAATTTATTCATAAAATTTATCTAAATAAGTGCAGTAATTTCCAGTACGTTTTTTTGTACTATACATGTAAAAAAAAATTTGATGATTGTTTATATGTATGACTTTACCGCTTTTCGATCATAAAAAATCTAAAATTAACTTATTTAATTTTTTATCATGTTATTCTTCATCGCGGCAAATTTAGAAAATCATGTATAGTAAAATTTTTAATTTAAGAGTAAAAAAAGTGCTGTATACGTTTCTCGTTGTTCATTTGAATCTTTGAAAAATAAATTCGTTAAGCTATTTACTATTTTTCCTAGTTAAAAAAGTGTTATGATATCATTATTTAAATATTTTTTACACATTTTTGAAAAAGTTTTTAATTTGGACTTATGATTAACAATTTGGAGGTGCAATAATTATTCAATATCTCTACTTTTTTAATGTTAAAAAAATCTTTTTAAGTCAAAAAGTTAACTTTTTTTGTATTTTTCAATTTTTTGTTGGACTTCAAGAAAGAGAAGAAGTTTCAATATTTAAAAAATCTGATAATGATTTTATGAATAGAAATAACATGATCTCCACTTTGAAACAATTACCAATAAATGTATACATTTTTTTATACATTATTGTTTATTTTTTAAACTTACCAAAATATTTGTCGTATACTAAATAAAATATAACCATGCGCGTAATTCAGTTTATTAAAATAACTCAAGTATTCAATAGTATATTGATATTATTCAATTTTGTATTTTCATATTTTCAATGTCACTACGTTTAAATAATCATGAAATATTGGTGTAACTCCAAATTTCCAGAGTTAAAATGAAATACTTCGAAATTCATAGCACTAAAAATATAAAAATAACTATGATAAATTTTCTTCACCATCAACCATGATTAGATTTTGCAATTTAATAGATAAACTTATTATTATTTTCAATAAACATCAATAGCTATATTCTATTTTAATAAAATTTTATTTGCATTCTTAAAACATTTAGAGCTACAAGGTAAGTGCGGTGTGAACATTACTGCAGTGAAAAGTTTCGGGCTAACTTTAGAAACATTTTTCAATAGTCTCAATAATTGATGGAAAATTTCATACAACTTATAGACCTTTTGATGGCATAATTTACAGAATCTGCAGTGAATTTTTACAATAAGTCTCTATAGTTATGAAAACAGTCGTTTACTGTACTTTTTTATTTTTATTTTATTAACATTGTTCGATAAATAAGTAATAAATAAAGAGATAAGAAGATTTCTTAATATAACATATCTTCTTTATTTTAGACCGACGGAAATGGTTCGGAAGCGGGCCCGGAATTGGACGAGGAAATGGAAAAAGTGTTTGCCATGGGTTCTGGAAGGAAATTCGATGTATCTCGTTTAGGATCACCTTCTGAATCAGTTGGCTCTGATCGTGACCGCGATCGGGGTCCTCCACCGCGATATGGTGATGACATCTTTGATCGTAAGTTTATTTTTGAAATCAATAAAAACAATTACAGTATCTTATTTTATTTATCCTTTTGAACATATAATAATAATAATAATAATAATAATAATACATTGCAATTTTTGTACTTTTCAATAAAAATTTGGCTAAATGGTTTATTGTGTTATCATTTTTTTTTCTGTAGAAAGCTATGCAGATTTTTCTGCTTTAGTTAAAGTTTTTAAGAACCAGCCAGACATTTTAATACATGCAAAAATAAATATTTTAATCATTGCAACAGAGATTCTATTCTGAAGATACTTCTATGACAAGCATAATATACTCAAATTTAAATGTTGTAAGATTTCTATTATAATTTTATTAAAATCAACACAAAAAGCTGTATAAATCAATCATGGCAATTATTTAGAATTGGTCAAAAAAATTATATTTGATGTTTTTTAAAAAATGATTAATGAATTTGTATAAAAATTATTTTTTAATACATTAAATTTGGTCTGATCGTAAGAAATTGCGTCTAAGTTTTTTTTTTTCAACCAAAATAAATAGTGTTAAAAGTAAAAAAGATTCTAACTAAAAAAAAAAAGATTTTATCAGAATGTCAAATCTTAAAAAAACGTAGAAAAAAAATTGTTTACTTGTTCTATTTTTAATTTTAACGAAGTTTTAAAAAAAATTCTGTAAAATGTTCCTCATACATAATTCTAATTTTTCAATAAGAACACCGCAAAAGAAGTTACCCTCATCCGCACATGCCTTTAAAAAGTCTACATTCCAAGTCGATGCGAAGGCACTTATCACCGTAAGTTTAAAAAAATTAATTTTTTACTAACGTTTACACTAAATTTAATTTACACAATTTTTTTTAATTAATATAGAGAAGGATCAATAGAATGCGAAAACGAAGACGAAAACGTAAATGAGAATGGGCAAGTAGAATCCACTGATCAACAATCAGATACCATAGACAATGGTGTTGCCACTACACGATCAAATGATGTACATTCACCGTCAGATGAGCAAGAAAATACACTCAGCAGTGAGTCTGAAGCACTAACTTCTGAAAGAGCAGCTTCGATTATCACTGATGGTACCGGAATCGGTAGTCCTCGAGTCCAATTCGAAAAAATTCAAGAAGAAGATGTTTTGTCATCCTTAGAAGGACCGCTTAGTGATGAAGAACGAAAATCGCGAAGACATCACAGTAAACACCACGATTACAAGTAAGTTATAAGTTACGAAATAATTTATTAAAGAGGACAAACAAAATAAATTTGAACAAACAATTACTTTTGTTAGATGTAATCAGTTAATATATTGTAAATCCCACAAATTATAAGAAATAAGCTTAAAGCTTCCGTGCAATTTGCCATAATCGTTAACAGAGCTCGACAAATATTAAGATTATTTTCATAAGCGGCCTAGACCTGGGACAAGAACCAACTCTTGTACAGGCTTGGTACTACCTGGTGCCATGGCCTTTAGCCAGGACTAGCCACTTCCGGTTAATAACTTGGGCCAACTAACGCACGAGTCATCAAACACACGCTTACCACTATTGTCTTGTCATTTAATTAGGTCAAACGAGTTTTGTTAGAGGTGCTTAGTGGATGTTGTTCGTTTATCATGCCTGTTACTTACGACCGATCTCAAGATCGAATTGGTAACATCAGACGGAATCCGTACGCATTTTATTGTTATTTTTTATCTTTTGTTTATCATATTCCATCTGCTCTGTAATGTTGGTCATTATCTGTTTTGTATATTAACACGAAAACATAAATTCATAACGTCAATCCTTATTTTTGCTTATGTATTATTGTTAAATAACAAAAAAAAAAAAAAAAAAAAAAAAAAAAAAAAAACAACTAATATTTTAAGAAACATAAATAGGTTGAAGTAAAAGTTATTTAACACGACAAAGAATAAAACCATTGTCAGGGTCAAATTCTAGTATGTTGGCATTTGATCAAATATTTCGGTCACCACGCCAAACATTCGCTCTGAAACCATCATTAATCTCTTCTCTGAAAAAACGTCATAAGTTTAGTGACAAGTGATTTTAAAGATAATATAATTAGTTAACGATATTTTAATTACCGGAAATCTGAAAAAAAAAATTTTTTTTTTTTTCAATAAATAAATTAGTTTGAAATAAAACTTTCCTAATTTGCAGCTATAGTTTTTATACGCGCAAACTTTTAGCTGTTTTTTTTAATAATTTTTTTTACTATAAAAAAATTAATATTTTCAGCTCCTGCTACCCTTAATAATCATACTAATAAAAAGATTTACAATTACAGTGACATAAAAAAAAATTGACCTGATACAATTATACATACTTATATTTGTTTGTGGATAATTATGCCTGTTTTCATAATTTTTATGTAAAATTGTACATAACTATTTATAATAATTATGTAAAAAAAAAAAACGATATAAGTTTATAAAATTTCATATAATTGGAAAATTTGTCTATTTTTATGAATTTTTATAATTATATAGTTATGTACCGGCTTTTTTACTGGTATTTGTATTTTTTAAAAATAATACGTAAATAACTTTTTCAGAAGACACCACCATAAATCCAGAAAATATTCCCTTCAAGAAGATCCACAATGGCGCAAAAGATCAGGAGCAGGTCTTCCAGACAACGTAGGGCTGTTGGGCAGAAGAGTAAGTGTGCAACCAGAAGAAGCGAGCACTCTGCAAGAACTCGATATAGATGATCTCGAATCTCATCGAAGCGATGATCCCCGTGGCATGAGAAGACATAAGGCTTCATACCCAACAATACAAATAGGCCGGAAAAAAGAAGGCGGGATTCCTCATGAAACTTTTAAAAAAATGTACGATCATTCACCGCATGAAGTTTTTGTTCAACTGGATGAACTTCATGGAGTGGGTGAAGAACGTGAGTGGAGAGAAACAGCTCGTTGGATTAAGTATGAAGAAGATGTTGAAGAAGGAGCAGACAGATGGGGAAGACCTCATGTTGCATCTTTGAGTTTTCATTCATTGCTCAATCTTCGTCGATGCTTAGAGACTGGCGTTGTTTTGTTAGACTTAGAAGAAAAAGATGTACCTGGTATGGCTTACAGAGTTGTTGAACAGATGGTTATTGATGAGCTTATTCTGCCTGAAGACCGTCCAGTTGTTATGAGAGCTCTGCTACTTCGTCATCGACATGTTAATGAACATGAAAGAGGTTTTCGTTTTGGTGGAAAACGAAACTATTCTAGTTATACCAGCCTCCAGGTAGGTTATTAACTCTTAATTATCTAGTTAAGTATTAATAATTATAATTACTATAATTTGATTTAATAATTTTTATTGACTGGTTATTATATTTTATGAAATTTTTTTTATTCTGCCCTGATATATATCTTCAACGTCAAATCTGTTATTATATTATACAATTCCGTACTTTTATTGATTTTAGTGATGATAAGTAATAAGTACACATGAATGTTAATAAAACCCTTTTTTATGTAGAATTATAAATGAAATTGATAATAAAAATTGTTTATTTTTTCATTGAAAATTAATTTCGGCATCAATGTTATTTCCGCAGTCTATCTGGCTGGAGGAAGAAGATGCTACGCGGGAAGACACTGAAAAACACGTAACTTTAAATTGTTATCCTGTCTTACTTTTTTTTGTCCCCCAAAAACATTCGTGTTTTTTTTTTAATCCATCATATTTTTGTATTTGAATTCCCCATTACTTCATAAACCTCCATGATAATAATCCCAATCAATCATGAACTTACAGGAATAATTATAATTCTTTTTACTAAAGCAAATTCGACATCCAGAAGAGTAAAAGAATTATTTCATGAATATTAATATTTATTATAAATTATTAAGATATATTATTTCAGTTAATATTAATTCAAATAAATTACTTGACCTTGACAAGTTGAAATTAGAGCACAACCTCGAACGGTTCGCGTTCTAAAGCATGCAATACGACTTTTCGTTCAACGACTTATAACAGAATGAGTCACTCAGATTAAAGTTGTCTTATCATACAAAACTTATTCTATTATAAACAATAACAATAACTCTTATCTAAAAATTTCTTATGCTAATAAATAGTACGTGTATTGGGTTGATATATTTGTCTTTCTCAATGTAAATAAACATGGATATTTAGACGCTTCAATATTCTATTCATATTGACTATTTTTAGATATATGAATCGCATCAGATACTAAACTTTTATGATCGACATTAATGTTTATTGTTAAAAAATTTGAAATTATTAATAAGATTTTTTTTTAATGACAACGTCATTAAATATTTGAACATGAAAAATTTTTTAATTCCATATTTTAGATTGGATACTCTATTGAATTTAATATTAAAGTTTTGAAATTTTATATATCAATAAAAGATTTAGAAATTAAAATAATTACTATTATTATTTATTGTTACATGCCAGTTTTTTAGACATTCAATGAATAAGAGAGTTGTTATTGAACCTAAAATAGTTTTGATAAATTCGTGGTTAAAAAAATAATATTTAAGACCAAATGGTTGTCCATATAATAATAAAAAAAAATTAATTAAATCAAATTTACATGACATGTTTGTATTATTCTAGAGGTAGAAGAATACATAATGACAATGTAAATAGAGGGTAAAATAAAGATACCAATAAAGTGTGCTCAAGGTTTTATCACAACCCCAAGCGGCTATATTACATAAATATATACTGCAGTATTTTTGTAATCAATATTAAATATTAATATCTACCGTTTAATAAGTAATAATTTGATTCAATTAATATAGTAAAACTTATTAAATGATTTCCTATGAGTTCATGATACCTAAAAATAACTTGTAATATATTTATAACTCTGTATTCGTGTTGTCCATGTGCTATAATGTAATGACATTTATTTTGTTTCATTTTTTTATTTTTTCATATCATTCTCTTGAATATATATAGCACATCGTTATATTTCATCATGATGACGTTGACAATTGTTAAATCATATCAACCGCATTTGCACTTGTGTGTTTTATCATTTAATAATACAAACATTGAAAAATGAACTTGAAAAAAAAAAAAAAAAAAAAAAAAAAAAAAAAGATTTTTCTTTACTTAATAAATTATTTATACATGTTCTAAAAATATATATGGGATATTCCAAGTCAAATTGCTTAATTGAAAAAATTTTTGATTTTAATTAACGATTTTAATAAGAAATAAAAATATATTTTCAGTTTCGAATTTTGTGTTTGAAAATTAAAATTTTTTTTATTTATTTTGAATAAAAAATTTTTTGCAAGTTTTGTGCGTTTAAGAATTTTTTAGTCTAATTTAATTATTAGTTTATTTAAAATAACTTTTTTCATTTATTTTTAAAAAGTTAGTTTCATATAAACTTATCAGAATTAAAGCAAATATTTGATTCTCTTCGAGGACAACAAAACTTCAATCTCAATACAGGGGTCTCCAGTTTTTTTTCTACAACTTTGACTCACCACCATTTTTCGCTAAAAAGTAGTGGACGGCCTCACCTACTGCCGTATATTCTCCAAATTTAATTCCTGAAATTAAAAACTCCTTAAATTCAAAATTGAAGAGACTCCGCTGTAAATTACATATAATTTTCTATAACGCGCGTGTTTTTCCTAAAAATGGTTATTAGAACGCCTTTATTTTATAAAAAGTAAAGAAATTTTAAATAGTTTTTTTTTCTTGATATCCTTTATCTGAAAAGAAAAATGAAGTAAATAAAAAATAGTAATTTTTCATGCAGTTGAATTTGAAATGGAATATCCTGTATAACGTACTTGTCAAACGTATTGAAAAGTCTGAATTTAATAATCAAATTTATAAAGACTAAAAATAATTTCAACGATTAATAAAAGAAAAATAATTTTACAGAATTTGAACGATTCAAAGCCAAAAATCGTGCCATCAAGCCAACCTCAAGACAACAATCACACAACGGTTGACATAAAAGAAGAAATGACGTATACAAGCAGCAACGAAGATTTGAAAAAATCTCACAATAACGACTACATCTTCAAGCGTATACCAACAGGAGCAGAAGCAACAGTTGTTTTGGTTGGTGCTGTTGATTTTTTGGATCAACCTACCATTGCTTTTGTCCGACTGGCAGAAGGTGTCTTCATGCCATCAATAACAGAAGTTGCAATCCCAGTGCGTTTTGTCTTCACGCTACTCGGTCCTCGTAATACCGATCTAGATTATCATGAAATAGGACGATCAATATCAACACTAATGGCCAACAAACCATTCCACCAAGTAGCATACAAAGCTAAAGAACGACGTGAACTTCTTTCAGCTATAAATGAATTTTTGGACGATTCAATTGTATTGCCACCAGGTGATTGGGAACGTCAAGCATTGTTACCATTTGATGAGCTTAAAGCTAAGAGCATAGCAATTAGAAAACGAAAAGCTTCAGCACTTGCAAAAACTGCTCCTATGACTCAAGGTGAAGCTGCAATAAAAAAAGCTATTCTTGCTGGGGAAGATGGTAAGCGGCCACCTGATGACGATCCTCTTCGTCGAACACGTCGTCCTTTTGGAGGACTTATAAACGACATTAAACGAAGATATCCATTTTACTTGTCTGATTTTACAGATGGGTTAAATAGTTCGTGTATAGCTGCAGCTATTTTCATGTACTTTGCTGCCCTATGTGCAGCCATTACTTTTGGGGGTTTGATAAGTGACAAAACAAAAAATGTTATTGGGATTTCAGAGACTCTTGTTTCTTGCTCATGGACAGGAGTTATAATGGCTCTTTTTGCAACACAACCTCTTGTGATAATTGGTACAACTGGACCTTTGTTGCTCTTTGACGAGAGTCTGTATAATTTTTGTTTAGCATATGATCTCGAATTTCTGACAATGCGACTTTATATCGGCATGTGGTTAGGTATAATAGCTTTGGCAATAGCCTCCATCGAAGGGTCCGTTTTAGTAAGACTCTTCACTCGTTTTACGGAAGAAATTTTCACTGGACTCATTTCACTACTCTATATCGTCGAAACTTTCATAAAGATTTATAATTATTTCAAAAAAAATCCCTTGCTACCAGAGTACTGCTACAATCCGAATGACAACAGTTCTTACTATTCGACTAATCTAACCAACCCGAAAGAATATTTGAGGCTAAATAATGAAACAGAAATAAATTCTTCCGCAATAAGTTTATCATTTCTACCAAGTTTTAATCCTTCCGGTTTGTTGATAAATCAACCAAATACAGCTCTGATGTGTACTATTTTGTGTTTTGGAACATTTTTAGGAGCGTATTACCTCCGTATTTTCCGCAACAGCCATTATTTGGGCCGTAGTGCCCGAAGAGCATTTGGAGACTTTGGAGTTCCAATCAGTATAATTATTTTTGTGTTGATAGATTACCTCTCTGAAGTAAAAACAGAAAAACTTCTTGTCCCTGAAGGTTTGAGTCCTACAATGCAGGGAAGAAATTGGATTGTATCGCCATCGGGTATCACCAAATCAATTTCTGTCTGGATGGCATTTGCTTGCGCAGTTCCAGCTTTACTCGTCTATATTCTTATTTTTATGGAAACACAAATATCAGAACTTATAATTGATAAAAAAGAACGTAAATTACGAAAGGGAAATGGTTATCACATGGATATTGTTGTAGTGTGTTTAATGAATGTTGGATGTGGATTAATGGGTGCACCTTGGTGCTCAGCGGCGTCAGTACGTTCTTTGACCCATGTATCAGCAGTTACGGTCATGTCGCGCACTCACGCACCAGGGGACAAACCTTATATTGTCGAGGTGAAGGAACAAAGAGTTAGCGCGCTTCTTGTCGCTCTTTTGGTAGGAACTAGTGTTTTTATGGCTCCCCTGCTGCGCCGAGTACCCATGGCTGTCCTTCTTGGAGTCTTCTTTTACATGGGTATATCATCAACCAATGGAGTACAATTATTCGATCGTGTTAAATTGTTCTTCATGCCTGTTAAGCATCATGGAACTGCTAATTATGTGAGACGAGTTCAAACTTACAAAATGCATCTATTTACATTGGTTCAAATATTATGTTTGGCTGTACTATGGATTGTCAAAAGTACACCAGCAGCTCTCGCACTTCCCTTTTTTCTTATTCTTATGATACCTTTACGATCACAAATGACGCGATTCTTTACAGCTGCTGAGCTCCGGGCGCTTGATAGTAAAGGCCCTGATAATGAGACTGTTGAGGATGAACTTGATTTCTATGAAGAAGCACCACTTCCTGGTTAGATTGTGCCTTATCTACTTATATTCCACCTTTTGTTTACGACATTAAATATCCTTCTGTATATTATCCATTATTTTATCTCTGTTTATTTTATTATTTCTTTTTCATGCTAAAATAAAAGCACTAATTATTGACACTATAAGAGACATTTAGGATTTCAATTTTTAACATATTGATAATTAATTTTTTTTTTTATTTTTTTTTTTTTTTTTTAATTACACTAATTAGTCTTTTGACTGAAAATTTGTGGTTTTTAATAATAGTTTTTTAAATTTGATAATTTATTTATAATGATAAAGTCAATTACTTGGCTACACCAATTATATTGATGAATTGATAAAATCAACTAATTCAATTAGTGACATACTAATATAGTGATATACTAATGATTGACACCTATAACGCGCTGTCTAAATTTATTTGTCTATGTGAGATACAACTTGAATTTTGAGTACCAATTATTGACACCCGTAATTTGAAAAATAATAACGATTAAATTGATTGTAAATATCTAATATTGTTGATCTTTCATAATTTATTTATTTAATAAAAAAAAAAAAAAATTAAATGTAAATAGATGAAAAAAATAATTAAAAATAAGCTTTATAAAATTTAAGCTCACCAATTGTTTTAATAGACTCAAGTAAACTCTTTTTGTCTCTTTATCGTTAAATTTTTTCTATTTTTCAAAACTATTAATTTTTTTAATTAATTAACGATTAGTATTAATATCGTAGGTAATTATATTAGATAAATTTTGAAATAAAATGAGGTATCAATAATTGGACCTTCGTCAATAACTAGTGCTTTTATTTTACAGATAAGAAAAAAAATATTTCAATGTTGTTCAGTTTTGACTCAACGATAAAAAGTCTAATTGCATTTTAAATTTATTTGGCTACTATTAATAATCTTTTATTAATTAAAAAATTTTTTTCTTCATTTTATTTTATTTTACTAATAAATAATTTACTTTTAATATAGTATAAAAAAATATTGTCAATTATTAGAGAGAAATATTAATTTCTTAATCTCATACATGATTACTTAAGTAATAATTGATGATAATTAATTAATACCGTGATATTATGAAATTTTAACAAATAAGTGTAAATATTTATTATAAATATAATTTAATCCTTAAATTTGGTATTTTATCCCAGTGAATTCTTATACTTAATTGATTTTAAATAACCGAACTTATCAACATTATTGGTGCTTATTTTATTTTGAGAGATTGATTATTGTACAGAAAAAATTATAATTGATGAATTTTATTATAAGATAATGAAATTCCTTACTATTAATTTAATTATGAATCTTCACTTTTAGTGAAATTTTGTTGCAACTTTTTAAGATTGTGCTACCTTAGCATTATCAGATGTTGATATGATTGAAAGAAGTACATTATCAATCGTGAAACGATTCAATTGAAAAAGAAAAAAATTCTATACTTATATTTAGGTGCTCTTGTTGTTAAATAATTGTACTGAGAATTAAAATTATAATTTCGTACTAAAATTTACATAATTATTAGCTCAAAGAAAAATTCAGGACTATAATTACTTGAGAAAGCCCATAGACAAAATTTTTGTCTTTATTTCTGATAAAATATATATAATAATAATAATAATAACAAATAATATTATTTTTGAATGGAAAATATAAGTATAAACTAACAGAGATTTTAAGATTGGAAAATGAATGATTATAGTATACATGAAAGAAATATGATAAATTAAACGTACCTGAATGAGATGAATATCATGATGTTGCGGGTCCAAGCAAGTAAAAGAATAAAAACATGAAATTTTATATTTTAAATCATATATTATGTAAATTAAAATTCAAATAACGAACAAATAAAAAATATATTTTTATTCTTCGTTTAAATGAATTTACACATAATATTCTTCATGAAGAAATTGATTATTAATCAACACTTTATTTTATAAATTGTTTGATTAATAAGATACTTTTATAATGCAGTGGATTTAATTATAAATTCGAAGAGTGTTAGACTTTAGACTTTCAATTATTAATTTTTTCTGAATTAAAAATTATTATTATTATTACCCAAAATTTATTATAAGTTGTATTAAAATCTACAGCTAAAAATGTACTTAAAATTATAAACTATTTAAAACAGTACTTAAGATTTAAAGTAAAAAATTATCAAAAATTGATCAATTGAAATTCATAAATCTTACTCTAATAATGTAAATCAATATATTAGCTACATATTTTAAAAATAATAAAAATTGAACATTGTTTTGAATTGTTAAATCAACGATTATGAAATATTATTGTAAATAAATGAATAATCAGTATTACAGTAATAATTAGTTTTAGTAAAACTATGCCTTAAAATAGAAGAAAAAATAAATATTTTAATGTCTTATCAAATACATATAGTTTAGTTATTGTTTACTTATCAAATATAATTACCTACTGTTTACTCCCTACTCATATATTTATATCCCAGTTATCCATTTAAATCTAGTCAGTACTTATCATATTGTGAGAATGGACGTTGTACTGCTTTCAAATAAAAATGGCATCACCGCGTCTTGCTGTTTCGACTTTGAGTCACCGATGTATATCGCCAAAGATAGTCAAAAATTTATTGAGTCCCAGGTAAATAAATAACAAAATCAACCTTATATATACTTACTTATAATGATGTGTAAATATTTAATTACTACTGAAATATTTAATTAACCTCAGACAATGTCGTAGTCCGCAAAAAATAGAGAAAGATTCACTGAGTCCACGCAATGAAAACGATGTCAGGATAGCTATTAAAAATCGAATTGTACCATTTAATATAGATACACCGAATCGTAAAAAAATAGTAAATGATGATTTATCGAATGAAAAAAAAATTTTACTTGGTTGCGGTGGTTTTGGAACTGTTTATAAAGCAACGTATAGAGGTATCAAGTTTTACTTTTTTATAATACTGGAACAAAATAAACAGACATCTAATAATTTTTTTTGTTATTTTTTTTTTTTTTTTTTTTTTTTTTTATTTAATAAACGAATTAGTACTAAAAAAATATTTGAAAAAAATTGCATTCATAGTTTCTTATAATTTTTACATGAGGATTTTTTTTTTCAATTTTTTTTAGTAATTTCCTTTTATAAAAAGTCCTAAAAATAATCAGATGTCTGTAAATCCAGTAAAATTAGTTTTTATGTCGCATTGATTTAATTCAATGAAATACTTATAAATTTTTAAAGGTAATCAAGTGGCTGTTAAAATAATGAAACGTAAAAATCTCTATGATACTCAAGTAGAAGCAGAAAAACATGCTTCTTTATTACAACATCCTAATATTGTTAAAATTATTAAAGTAGAGCAAGGTTCTGTTTGTTCATTGATTACCATGGAACTCTGTATAATGTCGTTACAAGACAAATTAGATAAAATGAAATTACCTTTGATTGAAAGAATCAAAATATGGAGCGCAGTAGCTTCTGGTTTAGATTTTTGTCACAATGCAGGTATTGTTCATGCCGATGTTAAACCAAAAAATATCTTGATCGCACCTGATGGTCAACCTAAACTTTCAGATTTTGGAAGCTCAATTATCACACACAAACCAATTGAGCGGATTAGTTTTCGTGTAAGTAAATACAATAACCATAATTAATGAGCTAAATAATAATAAAGTAATTCAATTTTGTTTACTTAGGGAACTCCTGGGTACGTAGCACCGGAAGTGATAAAAGGTTGTAATCCAACAGTTAAATCAGATATTTATTCTTTAGGAATTATAGCATGGCAGCTGATCTCAAGAAAAATTCCTTTTGCGACTCATCATCCGCATACCACGCTATATCTTACTGGTAAAGGTGTCCGACCTGTAGATGATGACGTTGATGATGGGTGTAATGGTACTTATAAGAATCTTTATAGAAAAAGTTGGTCACAGAATCAAGAAACTAGACCAAACCTTGACTTTATTATTTTTCAATTAAATAATTTACTGAAGCAAATTAAAACACCAACGTAATTTATCAAGAAAAATTTAGTTTATTATGGAAAATAATTATTAAACTCTCATATATTGGTGAGGATTAAATGAATAGGAGTGTTTTTGTTTCATGTTTCTGGCATCTCTCCTCCAGGAACCAGCTGTAAATAAATTATTAAATTTTTTGATTACAAAAGACAGGTTAAATATTTATCTTTTCTTGATAAATATAATAAATAGATTACCATTGTAATGTTACTTCCATTAAGAAGAATTTGATCAAGCTTTGTAACTCTACGACCTTCCGGGGTAGCTTCACTTTCTGTAACATCCTCCAGGAGCATATTAACAAAGTCATCGAATCCTTGCAAGGTACCAACAATTTCTTTATCATTCTTCATAATGATATGAATTCTGCTGCCAATACATTTGTCGATTAATTCTGTAAAAAAAAATAGTATTGTTTTTTTATTAATATAAGTGTGTATTATGTGTAATTTTTAAATAGATAAATTTATAATGATAAAACATAAAATAGTTATCCATTTATTCTAACCTAATGGCAATAAAGTTGATGGGTTTGTAGTTACCGAACTCGTCATTTTTGATAATTTATTAACTTAATTTCTTATAATTATTTTAGAATTTATTGTTGTAATAAAACTTTGTAATTTTAATTAAAGTTGATTATATTTTTGAGTAAATAATCACTAAAAATACAAGTCAACATGAAATTCAATGTATATATATACACAGAGTTGAAAAAATTGTTGAAATTCTATTGGTCGTTTCAATGAGGAGTGAGGACCCATTTTGCCGCCAAACTCGGTCGCTTGAGAGCAGCACATAAGCAAGTTTTTTAAAGCGCAAGTTTTCAAATATGATCGGCAAAGAAAGAAAAAGTTTAGTATAAAAAATTAGTTTACTAATTTATAACCAAATGAAAATTACAAGCTCGGAGAGCTCAAAATGACACGAATGTTATATTTTTGAGCTAGAAGAGCTCAAAAACGTAATAAGTTTAATTTTAAGCGCTTAAGTATGGAATTAGCGAGAATTTGCAGGGATGGCCTTTAGAGTCAACCGTTTCCTAATTTTTAACTTCCCGCTAAAAAAATCGAAGATTTTCAAAAATTGTATATGTGACTATGTGACTCGCCTATAACTTTTGAACGACTGAACCGATTGGAACCTATCAAACGGTGTTCTAAAGAGTTCCCTCAAATTTAGATTTCCTGCACGGAAAAAAACGTGCGGTAAATCCAACATCACTTGGAGTTGTCACAGAAACACATGAAAATCATCCGTAAACACACTATAGCGTATATATACTTTAGTCCATCCTGTGGTAAATGCTACTCCAAGTGTAGTTGGATTTACCGCATTTTCTTTTCCGTGTGAGAATTTGAACCGATTCGGACCGATAAATTTTGATAAATTTTGAAAAATTTCAAAAAAACTAAGAAAAAATTTTTTTTTTCAAGTGCTTTTTTTGAAATAACTTTTAAATGGCTTTATCGATCAACTTAAAAAAACTTACCCGCTCTTAAGCTTGAAAAACCACGTCGATCGCCGTTAATCCGGTCAAAATCGGTTGATTCGTTCGAGAGATATCGTGAACGAAAGAAAACCGAAAAAAGTATTTTTTCGGAATTACTCCGAAATTCCTGGCTGAATTAAATAAAACTTACAGATTCTTCATGAGGCTTAAAAAATTGCGTCGAATGCTGCCAACCGCGTAAAATCCGGTTCATTCATTCAAAAGTTATTGCGGTTTGAAAATTTGAAAAATTGTGTTTCATCAAACTTCTACCAGACTTTTGAGCTCGAAGAGGTCAAAAGCATAGAAAAGCTATCCCTTTAAGCTCAGAAAGCTCAAAATGATACATAAATCGTATTTTTGAGCTCGAAGAGCTCAAAAACGTCATGAGTGCAATTTTCAGCACCTAGGTATGAAATTAGCGGGAAGATGCACGGATGGCCTTCAGGGTCTACCGTTTTTCTAATTTTTTTTTTTTTTGTGTTTAAACCATCAACCATATTTTTAGGAGATTTGGAACTAATTTACACAGGGAATCAACTTCTCGACTAGACTACTGGCCTTGAATTTGGTAATAGTACAGATGGTTTTTTTTTTTTTAATCGTAAATTGTTTGTTTCGTTAAGATACAGGTGTGGCACAGTTTTTTCCGTTATTGGAGAGAATCTACGGGAATAAGGACTTCGATTTAAACGATTCTTGATTAATCAAGCTGATAGAAAAGTTTATTTGGGCTTCTTTATCTCGAATTGTGCAACATTTATAAAAATTACTGGCTGTGATTCTATTTTGACAATATTTACTTTTATAATCAACTTTTACTTCGACTTTGCTCTCGTGTTTCTTCTTCAATTTCTTTAATATCATCAATCGTTATTGACAGTAAATTCAATTCATTTAACAGCCACTCTTCTGGATTAACATTAGTGTAGTTATGGTCCCAAATTGCACACAGTATGTATTAGCTGGTTCGAACAGGCGAAGGAATGGCATTGTTGTTCGGTTAGTTGCAGCAAAATTTATTGCTCGATTGCGCTGCTTTTCGCAGTACAATTGTTTGTCGACAATTTAAAGCTTGTAAATTTTTTTTGTTACCTGTGGTACGAAGTCCACGCATTTTTAATTCTTTCTATAATTGTTCATTATTCTTTATTCTAGGTAAAATATTTGTTTTCTTTATCCATTTTCTTTATAAGCACATAACAGTCACTATTATTAACTTCGAACATTTGCGCGACAGAAAATGATCTATGCTGCTGTCCCCTGGCCCGAGTTTGACACAAAAACGAATCCCCATATTTGATAGGTTATGTGATCATCATGATTAGTGCCCCTCGAGCCCAGTAATATTTATTATTATTATATAAAACTATAGTTTGTTGTTGTTGTCATGTCGAGTCCCGTTCTCAGTTCATCATCATCCATACATAGTAATTAATTATAAAAAATATCACAATTTCTTAAATTAAAATGTATGACATTTGCCATCCAAGCGTAAGTTTGAACTTTTATCTGATTTTATTTTAATTTCTTAAAAACAAATATATCCTTTAAAGTATGTAAATTAATTAATTTTATTTTTTCTAGTATTATAGAATTAGTCAACTCGGATGTAAAAATGAACTCAAAATTACAACTGCTTTCTATATTTATATGGAATTGTGTGAAGGTGATTATTTTTTTCATTTTTCAATTTTTAAACTAATTTAATTTCATTACAACAAATTTTATCAGTAATTATTGAAATGTTTTTGGATAACATTTATTAATTCTATTAGTGTAATGATTTTTTTTAAACAGCAGACAAAAAATATACAAATTAATAAATTAAGTTTAATAAAAAAAGACATTAATTTCAATTTTCTGAATGCATATTCTTTCGCTTTAATTTCAGTTACATTTTCAATCTATAAAAAATTGTAAAATTCTATCATCTGCTAAATTTACATTCATTTAAGCTTTTATTATTATTAATAAATCATGAATGAAATTTTTAGAGTTATTAATTCCTTTCAATTATTATTTGTTAAGAAAAAAAAATGTGGGGTGTTGAATATAAATATGAGCAAGAATTAGATCTAATTTATCTTCTTGCAAAAACAAGTAAAAATGCTGACAGCGAAACATACATTCCTTGGCCATCAAAAAGAAATTTAAAATTGCGTGATATTGTAGATATTCAAAACAAATTAAAACGTTCCAGGTAATGTTAAAAAAAATTTTTTATTACTTAATTATTTTTATATATTCACATCGTATAATAATTGATATTTTTTAGCTTTATACTGGCGGTAAAAAGTGGAGAAGGTATAAGTGTAATGTACAGAGTTTGTAAAGATCTTATTAAACCTTTGGCTCCTTCGGGGATCGGTACAAAACGTGAATCGATGGTGAAAAAATCAAAATTAGATGTTGAAATCACAAGAAACAGTCGTAATTTATATCTATTAGCTAAATCTAGGCAAACAAAAAATGTAGATTATAACGAAGAGATTTTGTATAAAATAGAATAAATTAATTACAAGACTATTTTAATTTTTTAATGAAATTAAAACTGATATATTTTTTATTTTTATCTCATGCACATTACATCTTTAAAATAATCAAAATATTATTTTACACGTTGTTAATTACCTTATTTATCTTTTGTAATTGTATACAATGAACAAAAAAATGAAATTATGATAATTATTATCATTGATTAGTAATTTATATTATATAAAATTATAATACGTTTATTATTGGATCTTTAAAAAAAGTTTTTCACTATTTAAAAAAAAAATCTAATGAAGATTTTAGTATGTGAAATATAATGGATTATTTACATAATTTATTATAGATTTGTTATTAGTGAAACAATCATTTGGACAAAAATCTTATTAGGATATATGTATCTAAAAATTTGTTTATACCAATTTTTAAGGCCACTTTATTGTACACTTATTAACATAAAGTTTTGATTACTTTTTTACAGAAATATTTTGTGTGGAAAAATATATTTGGTCACAAGATAGTGGTTTTTACGGTTTTATCAGCAGCGAAAATTTTATAAAATCGCATTTTTTTGTGAGATATCAAAATAGATATGCCTTTTTCCTCAGTTTGAACAAGACAATATAAGAAATTACAATTATTGAATTCTGTTATGAATATCACAAATAATTTGATTTGTTTTAAAATCACAACAAAATAATAGGCTTTGTAAGTCATTTTCAATAATATTTAGCGTTCTGATTAGAATAAAGGCCTCTTTATATTAATATTATAATTTAAACAATTAAATTAAATTTGTTTGTAAAATAGCTACTTGTGCTTTAAAAAAGTAAAGGTAAGTTAATGTGAATTCAATAAAACTCAAAATCACATACAAACAATATTTAGATTGATAAACACTGGTGAATAATCTAATAATTAGTACTTGTTTAGAAATATATGTAGATATTTTTTCAATGTCTAATAACTAATATGATAAAACGCACAAACTCGAGACAAATATATATATATAAATAAAAATTTTGAAAAAGTAACAGTAGATTTACATGATTAAATATATGTTAGAAAAATACTTTTCTAATCGATTAAACTCTTAGAAAATTTCTATCTTATGAGATACGGAATTTACCTTAAAAAACATAAAAGAAAAGAACGACGGTATACTAATTATATGATAATTAAAGGCAGAATTTAAAGAAATTATATTAAATATTAAAAACCTTTTTTGTAATCAATAATAATATGCAATTAATTATATTTTGATCCATTTAGTAACTAACTTAGGGTAGTCAAAAAAATAATTTTAAAAAATATACATTTGAACCGAGTATCAGTAGTATTTGATCGTGACAACTGCTTTGTTCATGAATATATTTACTTTTTTCGTCTTCAAGATATGCATTCATTATTTTAGGTGTGTTAGCACCAATCAGCCATGTATGTAAAATCGCGGAATAGACCTTGTTCTAGTTCACTGAGCGGTCGTGGATCTTTGGGTGGTGTCAAATGAGGTTTTTCTGACGTGAATTCTTCATCAAAGTTGCTAACATCCTCCACTGAATGCTAAAAAATAAATAATAATTTAATTAATATTGGTTTACAATGAATAAAAGTTATAAACTTACAATTACTGGTACAAATGGTGGTTTTACTCGTCGAAGAAGAAGATCGTCCCAAACAATATGTCGGAAAAATGACTGTTTCTTAACATCTTCAGCGTCTCTTTCACTACTACCAAGCCTTCGATCTGGATTTTTTCGCAATAACTGTCAAAATAATTTAATTAATAAGTTTTTAATTTAATAATTAATGCAAAAATTTGTTTTCTGAAAATTCAATTTTTAATTTAACAACTTTTCTTAATATAAATATAAACTAAAAATAAAATTCTCTAAGAGATCTAAATTGATTAAAAAATTTTAGGTAGTTGTAGTCAGTGCTGGTGATTCATAAGCCCAAAACTTTTTAACTTTTAGCGGATTAAGTACAAGCTTTGTTTTCAGCTTGCTGTTAATATATCCCTACTACTTGAACATGATAAATTTTTCATGATTTATTAATTAATATTTACATTTATTTTTTATTTGTTAGTTATTGTATAATGTTAGTTTAGTTTTTTACGACAATCCTAACAAGGATTTCTTAGTTATAATCTCATACGCAAGTAAACTTTAAATTTAAAAAATGTATCTGATAGTATAACTATACACTAAGGTCTAGAGTTTATCATACGATAATAATTGTGACACCATAGTCCTACAAATCAATTTGTTTAAAATTTTTATCATGTATTAACCTTACTAAAAACATTTACGTAAAACGGTTTAATTTTTTTTTACTCAACCTCAATACGTTAAGGAATTTTTACAAGGAAAAATTTTAATTTATCTTTGATTTTTTTTTAAATCTTAGAAAAATAACACATTTTTTTCAAACAATCGTTATCTATCATACTGAAACATTCAAATACTGTTTCTTTAAGAGTTAATTATTTTATAAATGAGTTGAATTACATACTTTTTTTTCTTCAAGTAAAGTATGTTGAGAAATGGATTTCTGAGATAAAAAAAATTAAAAATTAAAAACTTCGGAAAATTGTTGAATTTTCTTGAAGAATTAAATAATTATTTAGTGGATATTTTTTAATAATTAATTTCTTTTATAAAATACGTTTAAAGGTAAAAATTTTAAATTAAAAAACGTGTCATTTAATAAATTTTTCCAAAAAATTATAAATACTTTAACAAAACTAATAACTTTTCTCTGCTGGATACAAAAAATTTTTTAACTTCGAATCAATATTGTCCGTAAGACCTACACAACATTCAACAGAAATTTTTTTTACCAAAGTCAAAGGTATTGGACTTAAAAGTGTGAACTAAACATAAAATGACTTATTGTATTAATAAATCAATAAGATCTTACCCTTCTCATAATGGCAATAGCTTCTAGTGACAAAAAACGTGGATAACGAACTTCATCATTTACAATTGAATCAAAAACTTCTTCTTCATCATCTCCCGGGAATGGAGACTGTAAAAAAATAAGTATTAAATAAATCTTAAATAAAGAAGTATGAATATTTGAAAAAAAAATTTACTTCTCCAACTAGCATTTCAAATATCAAAACACCAAGTCCCCACCAATCAACTGCTCGAGTATACGAAGTTTCGGTAAGAACTTCAGGAGCCAAAAATTCTGGAGTACCGCAAAACGTTCCTGTTCGATCACCAAATCCCATACCTTCTTTGCACAAACCAAAATCAGCAATTTTAACATAACCTTCTGTATCAAGCAAAAGATTATCTAATTTTAAATCTCTAAAAAAAAAAACAAAAACAAAAGAACAAAAATTAATAATTTATAAAATAGAATTAACTAAAATTAATGACTTAAAAAAATATTTATACAAATCGACCGTTTCTTTTCAATTAAATTAAAAAATTGATAGAGCATTCTAAGACCTATATCTTACTACTTGTTAGATTTTCTATTTTCTTTTTGAATAACATTATAAAAATTTTTTTTTTTCAATTATGAAATTTTATCAATTACCAGCAAAATCTAGATGCAACAATCAATACAATATATTTTTGTGAAAAATTGAATGCTTTACAAAAAATCTTTGATATTTTCGATGTAAAATATTTTTTCTAAAGTTATTCAAAGTCAATATAAATTTTAGGACAAATTCCAAAATTAGATACAAGTAAAAATTCTGATAAAAAAAAATTTCTGTATTATTTAAACGGTAAATATAAAATCGTGATGAGATACTTGTGAATGTTAACATTGAGAGCTCATACCAAGATTTTCAATATTCTTTAAAAAGATATGGTCGATTTTTTGAACACTCAAATACGTATATTTAGAATTTGATTATTTTCTAGAGTAGAATAACGATTGATTGACTTGACTCGATTATGAATTTCAAATTGTCATTTTTCAGGAGTTTCGAGTGAGAATTGAAAACGTTACTAAAAGTTTGAAATTTCATTCAACAATTAATAAAAACTTAGTACATCTAAGTAGTTCACTAACTTTTTTTTCGGATGCCAGTGATAAAAATTGTTAATTCTTAATCAACAATTGCGATAAAAAACGTTACTAAAATAATATAATATTTTATTGATGTTTCTCAAATCATAAGCTTAGAAGTGACACTAAAAATAGAATTGATTATTTTAAAAATAAACATTCGACCTTACTCAATAAAAAAAGTCATTTTCTATATAATATGAAATAAAAATAAATGTCTCGCATACTAAAAAGCTTTTTGAATTCCCATAAAACTAATGTATGGTAAAATTTTCATTTAATCTTTTAAATAGAAAAATGAACTCGAAATTTCTAGAATGGTATCACAAGTGAATAAGAAAAATTTCAAGTTTGATACCATCATGAGATATGAACTTAATACATAAGCCTGCTGAGTGATTGATTAAAATATAATAAACAAATAATCGAAATTTGAAATAAATTATACCTATAAATAATGCGGCTTTCGTGTAAATACTGAAGTCCTAAAACGACACAAGCTGAATAAAAAACAGCACGAGGTTCTCCAAATACATCTGCGTGTATGTGCATCATTAAATCACCTCCCGCAGCGTATTCCATGACAAAGCAAACATGTGCCTAATTTATAAGATAATTTTTTTTTTTCTATTATTTAATTTAAAATTGAAGTAAATAAAAAATCAATCATATTTACCTCAGTTTGGAAGCAAGCAAATAAATTGACAAGGAATGGATGCCTTGTAGCATTAGCAACTTCAAATATTCTTTTTTCTGATAACAAAGATTCAACTTCGTCTCTGGCAATAATGTCTCCTTTTTTTAAAGCTTTTATAGCAAAATATTCTCCAGTATTTCTATACTGTGATAAAATAACTTTACCAAAATGACCTCGACCGAGAACTGATAGTAATCGAAAATTATCTAATGTCATTCCAGTTAGTTGTGATTGTCTTCGAGATTCATAAGCACTATCTCGGTATTGCAATGGTCTTATTGGCATTTCATATAGAACCTAAATAGAAAAAAAAATCATTAATTATGTTAATAAAAACAAATTAAAGAAACCCTCTTTGTGTTTTTGAAAGTATTTTTAAATAACATGATATTATTATTTGGTGACCAAGCATCTGTTTTTTTATTCGTTAAGACTGAATAGTTTGAGGACAAGCGCTTTTCTAATATTTTCCTTACCATTGTTAATAACAGAAGAGTTGTAAGATATTATAGTACTGTATTGACATCGACTTTTAGTAACACAATATAGAAATGTCATAGAAGAAGATTTGTCACATGCATTTGTTATATTAATGTCATGTATTCAACGTTTTTCTTATCAGTTTTGTTGAAATGAACAAAGCGTTTCCAGGAATCGAAAGCAAACCAAGTTACTTGTAGAATTAAACAAAAATAGAATGTCAGGTGTAAGGGTACCCATTTTAATATTGAAATAAAGTGGAATGATGAAAATGAAAGTATGAAATAAACACAAATGTTATTAGATTTTTTTGTTCCGATAGCACTTTTTTATAATTCCTATCTACCTCATCTTCAGGGAACTCGATCACAGGTTGAGGCGAGGGAGTGCGCGGAGAAGGTGGCGCTATCAGTACGGGGCGAGGCTCCGTGACAAGAGGTCTTAAATTTGCACCCATTTTGTCCTCGTTGTGCAGAAAATCAAACTCCTTAAGTGCACTCTGTAACTACATTATCAAATTCTCCCTGCTTACCAGTTTCATGCTGTTTTTTTAGTTTTTTTAGTTTTTTTTTTTTTTTTTTAAGTTTTTTTTTTTTTTTTTTTTTTTTTTTTCTTTTTTTCATTATAACTCTTTATTGTAATAAAATATTTAAGCAATTTTTTTTTTTTTTTTT